CCCCCCCCCTCCCCTCCAGTTAATTATCGCACAGTCCCTTAACGATGCTCAGACTTTGTCAGACTCCCTCAGACTACTACGAAAACCACAAGGTGCGCGATAGTCTTTGCGCATACGACGTGTGACATATGACATCATTCAAAATGGCGCAGAAAATGCAGATGTTCGACTAAAAGGTCTCAAAATAGGTCACCCTTGAAACCACAGGACACCCAAGATTATGAACTGCGTTCTGCGAACGCAATAATCACACTCGCGCTTGTCGGATATGAGATGATTATAACCAACTCAGCGCTACACGCCTCGTTAGCAATTTACCATCTCATATCAGGACACAAACGAGGCGCGAGTGGAATAACTGTTTTATTAAAAAAAGCCCCCAAAATATAGAAAGCTGAAACAAAATAAAAATAAAAACGCCCAAAAGCTCAGGCGTACGCTTACCATATTTGTAGAGCATTGTATAATTTTTCTTATTACATCTCTCAGTTGTTACTACGCGGGCTGTGATTGGTCAATTTAGTCAATTTTTAAAATGTTTCGTGATTTATCACCAAGTGTTCTTAACTTAGTTTAAAACTTTCTTTCACTTTAGATTGTTTATTAAAACGTGCTAACGACTTAACAACGATTTCAAATTGACTTGTTTTGCTTCCGACGTTCTTCAGAAATTTGAAGCGGTTCCGCGTGAATAGAAATCGTTCCCGAAACCGTCAGACACACAGTGGAGATAAAATAAATCGGTTCGAACTATAAGTTACGGATCCTCGTTTTTTCCCCGTCGATTTATAGCCGGCGCTCTTCGCGCTTGGGCCATAAATCGAAGGGGAAAAAACTCGGGCCGTAACTTATAGTGCGGACCTCGAACTCGGTTAGTAAGAGGTATCTTATATATACCATGATGGCTAAGCCAATGAAAACTCTTGAATTACATTATCCAATGATCCAGTTTTTAACTATTGATATTATCCCTCCGCGACAGATCCAGAATATCCCGCTGGCCTCAACAACACCTACCCAACAAAAGTGATTTTCACCAGCGCCGTGTTGTTCACCTTCCTGGTGTCTGTGATGGGAAACTCTCTTGTCATCTACGTCATAACCAAACATCGCTCCATGAGAACATCAACGAATTGTCTCATCATGAACTTGGCAATTTGTGATCTTTTGATCACCGTGCTCCAGGCCCCTGCATTTATTAAGCACCTGCATACTGGAGACACGTGGTTTGGAGGCACCCTGGGAAACGTCACTTGTAAAATATTATCTTTTGTAGGTCCTCTCTTGATTTTCTGCTCTATTTTCAACTTGGTAGCTATCGCTATTGATCGATATCTTGCCGTCGCTCGACCATTAAAGTATAAATTATCATCAAAATGGGTGGTAAAAGTAGGAATTCCAGCTGTGTGGCTGACTTCAGTTTTGTTGTCTGTTAAAGCGGCATTGACACCGAAAGTGTTGTACTTTGGGGATGAAAACATGCTCCTGTGTGTAGTTGATAGAAGCTCTCTAGAAAAGTACTCCTTTTTGTGCTGTTTAGTTGTCTCGTTTATCGTTCTAATTGTGCTTTATTCTATCATTTGTTATCGTCTTTGGAGAAGAAACATTCCTGGCGAAGTTTCCAACAATCAGCAAGCGCTTGCCATTCGTACAGCACGAAAGGTCACTGTTTTAATGATATCAGTTGTAATCGTGTTTAGTGTTTCATATGCGCCTATTTTTGCATTCATGCTTTCAGACTTGATTCATGTAAGATCCAGTGACATTTCATCCATCATGCACCACCCCATAGTGTTTTTCATGTCTTTCTGGTTGATATTGAACAGTAGTGCATGTAATCCGTGTTTGTATTTTATATTTATCGAAAGCTTTCGCCATAGTCTGAAATCTGCTTGTTCATGCTTAAGACTTCTCGTACCTGAACCAAAGCCGTGCTGCATTGGATTAGAAAGTAGATTTGAAAACGCAGAACCAATGAGAAACAGACAGAATTTGAACTCTTTCGTTCAGGAAGAAGGAGCTGTTGAGTTGACGGCATACTCGTCTTTCAACCACAGAGTCTCGCCGCCTTAGATTTCAGCTCACCACACGCTAGTGCCAAATGGTCTCGGAGATAAATGTGCATAAATCCTCTAATTAACTAATTTAATGATGTTTTTGAAATGACAAGATATCTTATTTGGCATGTCAAAGAATATAACGAGGTAAGCTAGAAGTTGAATGAAGACATCGAATTCTTCCCAGTATGCCTGTTTACACGATCTTTTGTTGTAGGAGCATGCTCGCTGATATTCCCGGAAACAAAACAGGAGAGAAGCCTTGAAAGAGGCAATAGTCTCAAAGCAAAAGAAAGTTCGATTACAGTATTGACAAGAATGGATTATTTAACAAAGCCATTCCCAACGATAACGTTTTGAAATCTAAATATAGACGTGCAAAGAAGGACGCCTGATTGGTTATTCGTTATCAGACATAACCCATTGCGGTGGTTAATTTATTATCATTATCTACTCGTTGTAATGGTTTAACTTAACTAAGGAAGCCAGTAATTAGGAGCTCATTTGTAAACGCATTTATCGGTGATACAAGACAGTGGTCTCTGTCGCGGTCATGCGCGTCAGAGCTCAACAGTAGCTGATAAGCTAAGTTTAGGCATTACAAGTAGATTATTTGTGGTAATAAAGACTAAATAAAAACTTTATTCTAACCACAACTTTCCAAAGCAGTTCTGGGAATAATTACGAATCAAATTAGTGTTCAGCGGTGGGTTGATAGATTCAAACTGGCGGAGTACGACAGCTCATGCTCGAGTGACCTCGAAGATAAAGCCACTTAAGATAGCAGCCACAGCGGGTGCGAGACTACGCATGCCAGATAAGGTTGAGCAGGCAGTGAAAATAGGTTCTTTGGCAGGATAATTTACTTCTTGTACAAAATATGAAAAGCAACGTGAAGATTGTGGAGCAATGTTTGAGCAACGTTTTGAGACATTTTGAGCATCTTTTTTAAAAATTTGAAGCATCTTAGGGACAGACCTGGAAGACGCTGTGTATGATAGCTAACTCTCCAGCTCAAGGCTGCTTTCCTCGTTTTTGATTTTCCTTTCTGCCGGTAAGGTGAAATATCTTTCTATGTTGTGGAATCTGCTGGAAATGAATGCTAGCGCACTGTCATCAGTTCTGTCTCCCTCCCTCCATGTACACCATATCTTTCCACCTCCTCAGTGGTACAAAAAATCGGCGTATCAAGATACCGATATAGCCCTTTTGAAGGAACCCAATACATAATGGTTTTGCAGCGCTTTCGAGTGATATGCCATGGAATATCCCACGAGTCACTTAGAGGCATGTGCGTATACCAAGAAAATACAAGTGACAAGTGGGATCAGTTGATATAAATTAAATACAGCTACCCAGCGAAAGTGATTTTCACCAGCGCCATGTTGTTCATCTCCCTGGTGTCTGTGATGAGCAACTCTTGTCATCTTCGTCGTAACCAAAACTCGCTCCATGAGAACATCAACGAATTGTCTCATCATGAACTTAGCAGTTTGCGATCTTTCGATCACCGCACTCCAGACCCCTTTATTTATCAACCGGTTTTACTTTGGAACACCTAGTTTGAAGGCTCACTGAAAACGGTCATTTGAAAAATGACCACGTTTGGGATTCAGAGTCTGTGTTGCTGTACTGCCAAAATTTAACTTGGTAGCTATCGCCATTAATCGATTTCTTACCGTCACTCGACCATTAAAGTATAAATTGTCATCGAAATGGGTGGTAAAAATAGGAATTCCAGTCATATGGCTAATTCCAACTCTTTAATCGATAAACTCGGTATTGGTGACGAAAATTCAGAACTACACCGAAGACGGAACACCGAAGAATGCAAGTCTGAACACAGCTCTCCTGAAGAGAAGTTATCTATGTCAAGTGTCATGTGCAGCTGGATCATTCGTGGTTCTAATTGTGCTTTATTATATCATTTGTTATCGTCTTTGGCGAAGAATCATTCCTAAGAAGTTTCCACCAATCAGCATGCGCTTGCTATTCGTACAGCACGAAAGGTCACTGTTTTAATGATATCAGTTGTGATAGTTTTTTTTGTTTCATGCATGAGCACCAGCTTTAAATGTCATACTCGCAGACGTTTTTGATACTGAGTCCGCTATTTAAATCTTAATCTGAAAGAAACACCCCTTTTTTTGCCATCAATTACTGGTTGGTATTTTATATTTATCGAAAGCTTTCGTCAAAGTCTAAAAACTGCTTGCTTAAGATGTCGTGCACCTAATGTAAGGCTGTGTTGCATTGGACAAGTGAGGCAATTTGAAACTGGAGAATCAATGAGAAAAAGGCAACGTTTGAACATTTTCCCTAGGGAAAATGGAGCTGTTGAGTTGGCAGCATACTCAACTGCTTACCACAGAGTCGCACCTTGTTAGACTGAAGGCTTACAAGTGAAAAAGGAACAAGACCAATCGACTAGCTTTAGCTGGCTAACTTGAAATGTTGCTAGAAGAACAATTTCAGTAACATTTACCCCCTAACGATGACTCAATTAAGCTTTGTAAAAAGGCAACACGCACCCGGCTTGGAGGGCGTAACAAGATCTTAAAACAATTGAACAAAGAAGAGAGACTCTAGCCCTGAAAACACTATTTATTATTATTATTATTATTATTATTATTATTATTATTATTATTATTATTATAAGAAACGATTTGGAAATACATGAGACAAGAAATATAAGTGATAGAAACCGACGTTTTGCGCCATTATCAAGGTTACATAATTAAAGATAAAAGCGGTTTGTGAAGAGGCTAAGTTGAAACGAATTTGCTTGAGAGAGCGCCAAGCTAATTACATGAATACTTTAGCACGAAGAGAATCAGACTGTACATTCAGCGCTGGTTTAAGATCTTGAATACACAGCATTTCATTAACAAGGCAGTCAAATTTGTGCGTGCATTTCTTGATTACATTGAAGCGTGCTAAAAAAATTGGTCGAAATTGCTAATTTACTAAAAGGATCCGTGCACACGGTTCACGAGTCGTTGGTAACTTAAGCAAAATTCTCGAGAAACTTGTTGTCACTGTAACGTAATGAGGAAAAACGAGAACGTTCAATAAGTAGCAGAAAAGCCACTCCCTTTGTAATTTCTCCACATGTAAAAGTTTATTTATGTTTATATATGTTTATATAAAGTTTATTTATGTTTATATATGTTTATATAAAGTTTATGTATGTTTATGTATGTATGTGTGTATGTACATCGATTTGTTACGAATCGAGCTGAACACAACCCGTATGGTAAAACAAACAAACTCCAGCAAACAAAATGTTAAATGAGGCGAGCAGTGGCTATTAAGCGGTATGTGCGTTTTGGATCTTAGTACGTTTCTTGACAGTCCACCGCAAAACAACAAAGTGAAATGGCCAAGCTCTGTGTATTAGAAGAACGTGGACCACGACGGCTAACTTTTCGTGTTTCCATTTGGAATTGAATACTGCATTAACTATTTAGCTTGAGATTTTATACCGATAGTGGATTTACTGAACAGATCCAACGGCTTCACTGAGAAATTCAAAGGTGAAATCTAAATTTATTCTTTACTGTCTTGCGCATCCCAATCGACGTTACTATTAACCATTAATAGTACGAGAAATTAAAAAGATCAAAAAGCAGGTGTCATGAGCTAGGCATTTGCATACTTATCTGAAGACTTCTTTTAGGAGGTTTTGAAAAACAAGGGAACATGATCAAATATATTTCGAGGGAACAAGGGATACTAATGATAACAGGGTTATTTATTATATAACTGACAAAATTACTTCATTAATTATGATTTGCTGAGAGCAGGCCGAGTTATCGTTTATTTTTAATTTACACTGCAGTGCAAATTAACGGGCGCGCTTTTGTGATTTTCTCAGTCATATAATAAAAGAGCAATCGTATGAAGGCTCGAGCAATTAAGGATTTACACTACTCGTGGTATACTCGTGCAACTTTGAGAGAATTTTCAAATCTCACTCGTAGTGTAAATCCTTAATTACACTCACATTCACACGATTACCTATACTCATTCCTCCCCTGATTCCTCCTTATATCTTGAAAGGTCCCACTTATTAACCGAGCAAACGACGAACTTGAAGTCTTTTCTTTCGACGAATTTAACAGAAAAAACATTTACAACAATGATGAACTGATTTTAATTACTAATTTAACATTAATTTCCATAACAGTACCTCGAAGCTTCCTAACAAAACAAATACTTTCCCAAACAATTTTTAATCATGTCCTGTTGGTCTCTAAATCTAAGAAAATGTAATGTTGAAATTATAACGATTTTTTGCAATTTTCAGCCCATAATTAAGCAGAAAAAGGCAATAAACAAAATACAGCATCGAAACATTTCGTTGATTTTGAGATTTTGTTTATGATGAACTT